TGGTTACTTGTAGGAATTAATTCAATTACTAGGGGCAGATCTAATTAGCTCTATGCCAAAAAAAATTACCTTCTGAAAGCCACAACTTCCACTGTAAATTATTTTGAATTTTAGCTTTTGTCAGTTTCTCTAAAAATGTAGATTTCTAGATCTATTATATTGTTATAGAGCAACCTTGTTTTCATTCTTGATTGGCCAAAGTGCTGGTCTGACTAGCTGTATAGTATATAACTGTATATTTTGTCTGTTTGTACATCCACACACTGTAACGGGTGACTCTTGACTGTTTTTTGGCATGACCGAATTAATTCCTACCAATAACCAATATCAGGTTCATTTTCTCACATTTATAACAAACAAAATTTCATGAAAATTTGTTCAGAATTAAGCGAGTTACAGTCGATTTTTGTCGTGCAGTGTTCATCTCTCAGTATTGTTAGCGGATCTTTACCTCCCCAATATGGCGACAGTGCAGACAAACATCAAATCAAAACCACGGTATCTACGTTTCTGTATATGTGATCCATACATCCACTGGCTGTGCACTGCTGGAATCGTTTAATGTATCCCGCTGTATATACTCCTGTCAACACACTAACATAACTTCATCTTTAAGAGAGGACTGTGAGGCTATGTAGCTTAGCTGAAAACATGCTAGTTAAACCCATTCTCAGCTAGTTACCTTATAGAGATAACTGTTCATTAAGCTGTCCAGCCTGTGAATGTTTATCATGTGCTGCACACTGCTGCAGCAACACTGTATAAACCGTTGTAACAGCAGCTAAACTATTTTAGCATTTAAATGAACTTGAACCAGCCTTTATGTACGTTTTGTAAAGTAAACTGTGTGATTTTTAAAACCTTTTCCCTCTAATTTAAATTTTTTTTTGTGATGTTGAGATGGTGATGACATTTTGATTCGGTTGCACTAAAAAGGCCTTCAAATATTAACATTAACATTTTCTTGGTGATCAAACCTGCGGGCGTATCTTAATCAGGATTTGGAATACATTTATAATAAAGATAAAACAAGAATCACTCATGTATGAAATACGAAGTGGGAGCAAAGACGAGTAAAGAACAGACAGCAGAGCATGTCACACATGAACTCCTACATGCTTTAGCGCTTAGCATGACAGCAGCGGGTTAGTCTGCAAACTGCGTGTCTTCAGCTCCTCATGTCGCTCTTGTCTGCCGCAAAGAGCGTTTTTCAGAACACATTTGCTCTGACCTTACGTGTCCAAGTTGAATGGTGTGAAGAAATGTACCATAAATTAGATGTGAGTATCGTTTTAATGCATCAAGCAGCATTTTGCAGGGCGCTTATGTCCATAGTTGTTGGATGCCTCTGCCATGCAGTCCAGTATCTGACTGAAGCGGGGAGCAAAACAGGTCATTGCCAGTGCTTTGACATAAACAGAGCTGATGAAGTCTTGGAAATGGATTGCCTCAATGAGTCATCTGCAGATGGATGCCTGCCGATCTGATGTGTTTCTCATGTAGTGTGAAGTCCTTACATAAATTATAGATGTGCGAGCCCCCTCGGTGCTCGCTCGCTTGCTTGTCCCGATGCCGAGCTAAAGTATTCATGCTGCAGAGAACATAAAGACTCTTCCAGCTTTGCTCCTGACATGCTGATAAGCCTTGTGTGGGGGGCTGCAGGCCTGATCAATACGGATCAATTTTTTGTTTCACATTAGAGAGGGCTGTCAGCTCCAAATTCGTGTGTTTCAGTAATTGAGACTGAGTCAGGGGAGAATTAGGATTTGATTTCAGGAAAACAGGCGGGCATGTTATTACAAAGGATTTAAACACACATACCATGATGATCCTGTCCTTCTTTAAAGTAATACAATATTTGATGCCAAGTTTATGACATTGAATGATGTCCTTGTCGTGCAGCTCACCATTTTAAAACAGAATTTGGTGCCATTATGTCTCTACAGCAGTGTGCCCAAGGCAAGATTGCTGTGCATTTTCTATGCAGTACTTTATAAGTAATATGAGTAATCTCCTTTTAATATGTTTGGGAATCGTGGTTTGACCTGTAACCTTTACATTATCATTGACATTAGGCTTTACAGTGAGTCAGCCAATGATACTGGGAGCCTTAAAATCCTTAACAAATCCGGGTCAGGTCAAGCAGAGGTACAATAACAACCAAAAAGAAGAAAAATCCACAAATTTCCACCAAAGTTACACATCACTTTACGATGGTTGATTATTACATTTATTATAGATATTTATGAAACTGATACCACCTTTCTCTGCAGTTATTTTCCTTTATTAGGACACATTTGTTAAAGCTTTCATATAAAGATATAATAGATTCCTGGCTGAAGTAAAACTGTATTTATGTAGGATTTCACCCCAAAACTGAACCTTTATAGTTCCCCACTGAATGCAGTATTTATGTATATATTTATGTAATTGCATATAGTAACAAACTCAAAGGTGCAAGTGCATCCACAACAAAACACAAATAGGAGCCTCGCTTCCAACTTTCATTATTGCCCTCTCTCTTCGGATGAATAACATGGATATAAAGGATTAAATTGGTGAGTCAAGTCCCCCTCATGTGCACCATGAAAGGAGATCAAGCTGGGTTTTTGTTGCTAAGAATATGCAGCAGTAACAGCAAAGAGCATTGGAGCTGTTCTGATAAGAAATAGGTCATACGAGACCCAGAAAGATATGAAGAGTTTTGATCCGGAGTCAAACCTCCATTTATCCGTGGCGCCAAATCCCGCAAAGCTGCGGTACTCTTCAAAGAATACAAAAGTCAGTAGTTGACAAATTGATAAGAGACATTTTCAGTTTGAGAGATATGTTGTACGATGAACTGAATGACTTTTTTCAATACATTTACAATACTGAAAACTTTATTTAGCTTTTGCCATCTTCAAATTGGACTCTTTCCAGTTATAATATCTCTATAATAATATCTAGTAAAATAACCTGGAAAACATAACATGGATTAATCAGATTATGTTAAAAGAAAGATACTAAACAGAAGTATAAAATAAATTTAATTTAATTTGGCAGAGGAATGAGAAAAAACCTCAAATAATGGCTCTTATTCCACAGTGCTGTACTGTATGTTCCCTGCTGAATGTGCCAAAAATGCAGATATTTGTATTTCCCCTAATGTCACTTATTTGTAAAGCTATTACAGTAGTTGACAGGCACTTTATTCATAAAGCATTTTGCAGAAGTTCAGACAACAGAAATCACTCAAGTGATCTAAGCTTAGCTGTTACTGTAAAGTATGGACAGAACAATAAGAGGAACCAATATGTACAGGAAGCAGCCCAGCAGCACCAGGACGAGCAACAGGATGACAGTGATGGAGAGGCAGCGGGAGCGTAGTCGCATCAGTCTCAGTCCTCTGACAAGGCAGGCTGGGTAGAGGCAACATATGTTTGTGTGTGTGCTAGCCTCCAGCCGCCTCTCCAGAGCTAAGCAGCATAGCTGTGATGCCGGGACTGCCTGAAGTTCTGGGCCAGGATTGATGACGAAGGCCGGCCCGGGCTCATAAACGCCGCCGCTGTACGACTCCTCCTGCAGCCTCCTGATCTCCCACTGCGGGAACGGGGTGGTCTGTCGACAGAAGGGGCACTGCAGTCGGCCCGGGTACTTGGCCCATCTCATGATGCCGGCTGTACAGTGGTGGCACAGTGCGTGGTTGCAGTTGAGTAAGGTGACGCGGTGATCCCCATGCGATTCGAACAGCTCACTGCAGATGGGGCACTCGCGTCGGCTGCTGTCACTGCACAAACTCCTGACACTTCCACTGCAGCCAGGCTGATCCCTGCCAGCCAATTCCAGCTCGTGTGGAACAGATGTCTTTCGGTCAGCCCCATCTGTCACTGTTCGCGTGTCTGCTTTGTGATTCTCATCCTGGCTGTCCTGGTGTTTGTGCTGAAGCAGAGGCTGTACGACTGAGTCTCTCTCACCTTCCTGCTTTTCCATTCGCCTCAGTGTGTATAAAACTCTGGCACAAGTCTCTTCTGTAGTTGGCAATTCTCCGAGTGTAACAACACCTTCCTCCTCCATTTCAAGGACTCCTGCCTCAGCCATCCTTCATAACAAAAAGATTTTTTCTGTCTGTTCGATACATTTAACACAACCCTAACACAAGCTCAGTATGTTTCCTTGTGAGAGAAAGTCTACTTTCTTCCTGGACAAAGCTCAAGTGAGCCAACTGTTGATGTAATGCTTCTGTATAACAAAGGCAACAAAGTCCTGTCCCACCATAAACCCAGATAAGATAAGCACATTCACAGATTAGAAGTGCTATGCAATAATATGAGCCTGAGAGAAGTGCCACTGGCCAAGTAGTACAGTTAACATTTCACTATTCCGCACAATTTAACACGCTAATGTATTTAGTGCAATGGAAAGCTTTTGCCATAAATGCATGAGCAAACGCATTAGAGCCGAGCAGACAGATTTATTCTTCACATCCAAATGAACATTACATCTGTAGATTAGCCAGTTACAAAAATACATTTTCATTTTTTCAGAGTGGAGTTGATCTGATATTCATAAGAAGTATTGTGCTTTTTAACATCGCTGGTTATTTGCTTTGAAATGTATCTTCTCTCTTCTATGATCATCTGACAATGGAAATTAAAACGTAATTCCAAGCAGTCCCAGTCCCACGAAACCCGCCCCATCACTGCAGGCATGTGAAGATTATCGCTTTTATAGGCCTAGTTTTGTCACATTTCCAAACGGGAACAGTAGCTTTAATAAAGCCTCACAGCATTGTAGTCATCAGTGATTAAATCAGTAATGAGTAGACAACATGCACCAGGAGTAAATAATTGTGGAAACTGCATATTGCTGTTTTTCAACTATAGCAACATAGTATAGTAACAGGAAAGACTGACTTTAAATTAAGGTTTCCAATGCATAGTTGTGAATAAAACAAAACAAACAAAAAACAATAACAGCATTAAAAGATCTGGAAACATTTTAAGTAGAAGTACTGATATAGATCTAAAAGCTCTTGTTTTCATCTTTATTTCATTCTCAGAGTAGGTCCAAATTAAAGGAAATTATATTTTCTAATTATGCTAAAATGTTAACATTTCATCATCATAATCCTCATCTGTCATAATCAAAGGCCAGCTTCATCTTTTGTCTCCATCTGTGCTACATTATCTAACCGACACATGACTGTGTGCACAATTGTGCTTGTTAAAGGATTTTATGATGAGATGCTGTTTGTATGTTAACGCAGCTATAATCAGTGTTTTTTATGATATCAGTGGATGACTAATCGAACAGCAGACAGACAGAATTAGAGACAAGATGGTGGATTTAGTGGAGCATTTAGGAACTAAAGAGCCAAATATTTCTCTTGGAATTTGGTGGAGAGCAAAAAAGAGCTAAAAGGATTAAGGATGAATATTGGACTTTCATTCATGAGTTGAACAGAAACACAACAATTATTGCTTACAATGTCCCTCCGTAACTGCTGGATGTGTAATAAAGCAACTGTTTAGGTAGAAATGTGCTATATCAACCTCAAACTGTCATAATAATGTCAGTATTATGCGCTCAACCTGTTTTCGCCTGAACATAGTTAGCCTAGCTTAGCATAAAGACAGGTTTAAATTACTTCCACACCTTTGTAGTTTTGTAGGTTTATTCCATACACAAACACATTTAAACAAATGAAAAATTTGCATGTTATAACTATTTTGTCGCAAAGAACAGTTTACCTATCCGTGTTGCTTAACTATTTCTTTAGTCCTCGCTGTAACTCATAAAAAGCATTCAGTTGTTACTACCCCAAACCCTCCATCTGATATGCAGTACTGGCTCGCACAGTAGCAGGAAATGTAGTTCTATTTCTTAATCTGAAGTTAAGTTTTCACAGTTTTTTAGAGGAATCTGGATGTGGACATAACTTCTCTACAAGCTATGGATAGCGTAAGGGTACTTAAAAGTCATGCCAGTTCCAGTCATATTATGACATAATTCAGAGATACACCTGAATCACCAAAAAACTTGGTGAAGTGGTCCTTTAAGTTGTCATTGCACACTGCTGTGACTACAATATCACTATCAGCTGGCTGTTGAGTAACCCCAGATCTCCATCAGAATACAAACACACCTTCCATTATACCTGCAGCTGAGGCATTGCCAAGTTTGATTGCACATTAAAGACTTAAACTTAAGAGTGTGAAGGCAGATGAAGTCAAAGTGAGAAACACAATGATACCAAATCATAGTATTGTGAGACATATTGCAGAAGAAGAAGCCTTTTTACTGAGCTCGAACTAGAGGCAGGCGGTTTATACTGAAAATCAGCTGAAACCTTTGCTCAAGCAAAAGACTTACTGGTTATATACCTATCACACATTTTTCAGAGTAAATGGTTTTGATAATTGCAGCATTGCAACAAAGCACTTGTGGTGTTCTTAGTATTGCTTGCTTTGAATATTAGCAGTGGTTCATCAAAATATCACATTTATACATTTAGTTAGTCATTCCAGTCCAAGCAGCTAATATGATAACAGTAGGCACTTGCGTACTTAAAGCTGGAAAGTCAGGTTTAATGAAAGGTCGGGCTTTCAGAATAGCGCTAAGACCCTCCACAAGTCAGCTCTCCTTTCCTCTTTTAATTTATCATATGTGACAGATAAAATCAATGATGGACTCCCTCTGACCTCTGATTAATGTCAACCCTGATCTGACATCTTCTCCGCTGATCTCCCCTCCTGTAGTTTAGGGAGGTCAGAAGTCTAAAGTGTCGTGCTGGTATTGCAGCCGGGGGCTGTTCTTGCAGTAGAACTGACTGAACCAGCGCCTGTGCTTCTGGATGGCTGAATCTTCCTTCACAAGGAGAGGCTTGGAGATGTACTTCTTATTGTTCCAAATCATCACGTCCCGCTCAAACTAGACACAAAAAGAAAACAGGAGATGGTCACTGGGCGGACTTGTGAATTATGATTTCAAAAAGCTGTGACAAAGACATATTAAAATAACAAACATGATATATTATAGGTTGGTTTTACAGCTTCAAGTCCATTCGTTTTTATGCTCTGCACTTCCTCTATCCTTCTTTACTTCCCCTAATCAAACAGGTGGCGCAGTTGTAGAAAAGAAACAGACTTTCACTAGGCTTAATAATTAAACAGTAACTAAAAGAATAATCTGTATTTTGTTCTGTCTTGTTGCTGTGAATTATTATCATCTGTCAGCAGGGATTTCCGTGTGAAGTGCTGCTAATTAAATGTCACTCCATCAGCTGCTGAGATTTGGCATTTTAGTCCACATTCAAAGTGTCCTCTAAAACTGAGTTTCCTCTAGTGGCTCTTTGTGGTAAAACCACATGGAGAAACAAAATGGCAAAATACTTTTAAAAATTATTTTAAAATAGTCCCTCTCTGAACTTATCGTGTCTCAAAACTACTGTCTGTGTCACACATTGTTGAAAACCATCGAGCACCAAAGATCTTCATCAAGAACCTGCTCAGATTCATTATCATTTATACTTTATTCTTTAATAAGGTAATTCCTGATTTAAAGGTTTTGTAGAGGAACATATTTCTGAAACACAAGCATCCACTGATTCAGGAAGGATTACATTAGGCAGTTTTAGTGGAGACTCATCCATTACCATTAATAAAAAATACTTTTCTCCTTGTCTTGAGTGCCAACTTATTCATTTTTCCTTTTTGTTACATCAGTGACTGTTTTTGCACTTTACCACACAGTTAATTATCAAGTTTAATGAGGATTATTTACACCTTTTCTGTGACTGTGTGGTGTTACTTCTGGTGGCAATGAGGCAGAATTAAACCACATGCACACAATGATCTCTTCACATTAGAGCAACTCTGAATTACAGACTTACAACTAATACATGTATTTATTATTAATATTATTACTAATATTATTATTATTATCATTATTATTACATGTATTATCCATGAAATGTAGCCACGTTGTAAGTTTTGATGTATATTCCCCAAAATACCTTAAAACACAGCAGCCTGCTGCTACTGGAAACCAGGTTGATGAGTGCTAAGAATGAATCATACAGTAAATGGGCTGTAAAACTATAAGCTAAAAAAGGCTAAAAGGCTCCCAAAAGCTGCAGAATTGGTGCTTATTCTGTGGGGTTCATTGCAGGCCAACCATTTCAGAATACATGCTGAAAATGGAGGACTCTATCACAGTGATAGTAAAAGCGTGAACTGCACCTGAATGCACTCTGTCCTGAGGAAGAATTTGGGCACCATAGGTGGGATATTAGATTGGTAAAACATGATGTGAGAGACACACTGCAGCAGAGGTTCCACTGGAGTCACACACTGAATGATAAGCCCCCGGCCCAAGAAACTGTGGTTAAACAGCAGAAACACCACTCCTGGACCAATCTGAAACACAGACAAATATAAGAGAACTTGTAACCTATATTCAAATTGAAAATATGTACAGTGATGTGCATAATCAAAACACTGATATACTTTAAAACAAAACACTGATATACTGATATAACATCAAGCCTGTTTTTTAGAAACTGTAATGCTTAAAAAGCAACAGTGTCTTGATCGGACCTGATGATGATTTATTGTGTTACAGTGCATTTATATACATGGTTAAAGGACCCCTCCAGGCAAAAATCTGTGTTTGTTCTTGTTCCTAGAGTGTGATGTTTAAATGATGTATGTGTAGTTTGGAAGGATGTTTTCACATTCATCTGCTGAAAGTGGAAAGTTTCTCTGTGCTCATTGAAAATCCGATTTGTAAGGGGCGGGACCTACAAGCATGATTTGTGACATCACAAATAGTTTGGAAGTCAATCCTGGTCCAGTAGGTAATTTATTTTTTACATAAGCAGACTATTTGTATCTGTGTCTTAATACATGTCTGGAGGGGATCTTTAAGCCCAATACTTTAATGTATTTAATTTCATCGCATGCTTATCCCACAATAATGCTGCTGACTGCCCACCCCCACCTGCATTAGAGTAACAATATCCTCGTTCTCCAAGTTTGTGTTGGGTCTTATAGGATCCTACTCTCCCTGCAGGCCTCTGCCACTGGTTAAACTTGTGAGATGAGTGCTTTGAGGGTACACTTATTCATCATATATAATTCACCAGACAAGATATAAAAGCACAGACTGCATAGCGGTTGTTAATGTTCCAGATACAACTAAAGAATGTGATGTTTTTTCTGCATCAGACAAACATTTTTACTGCTGGTTTTGTAATAAGGCTCTGTACTGTAAGAGAAATCCATGAAGCTGCCATGTCTTCAAAACAGCCAGTTGTGAATGTGTTAATGTTGGTGAAATCTAGTTTAACTTCAATGGGATTATTTATAAGATCATAGATTATGCTATCCATTTAATTTAGATTACAAATCAATCACATAAATACTTAGAATTAGACTGTACCTGTCTGGCCACAACATGAACATCCAACAGGGGCCAGTGGAGTCCAAACACAGTAAATGCATGTTTCACCAACATCTGGGAACAGTGCTGGTTGGGCTCTGCCTCTGGTTCCCATTGAACCTTGAATAAACACGCATACACACAGACAAAGTACATACAGTGGCATTCAAACACAGAAATACACTGTTAAATAAATATATTCTGCTAAGAGTGTGTTGAACAGAATTGTAAAAGCAACAACACATGTAGTGTGTTTTAGCTTAGAAAAATCCCTACCTTCCAGTCATGCCGCAAAAATGCAAAGGTTTTGCTGTGGATGTAACGCAGATCAATTCCGCTGACAAAGCTCGGCGTGTGCAAGTGAGCGATGTGAGCAACGTCTGCTGCATTTTCAGGAATTTCCTACAGGGAGGAGAGGTCACCATGACATGTGCTCACGACTGTTTGGTAACAAAAGCACCTTCTCTACCTGTGGAGTGTGATACTGAATGTGCATACAGCTACACAAAGTGGATTTTCTGAGGACTGAAAGTAGTGGTCGATCAATATGGGTTTATCAATAGCACATGCCAATATTTAGAAAGCAGGGCTGCCAATATATAATGCTGATATCAAAACAAGACAAGTCATGTTTGATTCTAATTTACAGGAAATTCAGGCATAACTCACAAAGGACAGACCTAACATTGTTCCACAGCAACCACACAATGTTTCTTTATACTTAACAACTGCATTGATAATTTATGAAAATGTACGTAAGTAAAGTAAAACCCCTAACAAATTCTTTTTTGTCTTCAAACTAACTAAAACAACTCCATGCTGTGTACATAAAAGCACATCCACACACACATGCACCTACCTGTATGTGAGCATTGATAAAGTGTTCAGTCCTGCCCCGATAGACCCACTCGCCCGTTGCAATTTCTGGCTGCTCTGGGACGGCCCACTGAGGATCTTCTCCATCGCAGTGAAACCAAACCAGGATCTGGCCATTGACCTCACAGCTGGGCCAGCTGCGCACCTTGGCAAACTCTGGTACTGAATGACAAATGAAACCCAAATCTGGATCATACACTCTGTAGTCATGTACATGTGAAATGATATGTATAATGGGTACTATTTTATTTCACTCCTAGAAGTAGATATTCAGTTTGACTGTCACATAATATTGACTTTGTGTAAGAAAACATTAGCTAATATAACATATAAACACCATAGAAAATTACTATTTATTACCTAGAAATGTTCCTGTTCCCTCTGGTGCCACCCTCTGGCCAAATTGTCAATTTTATTCACAAACTGACAAACAGATGTCCAGATTTGTATTATAAGTATATTGGAAGTATTTCCAGATTGTCTGAAAATCTTCATGTTCCCAAGGGTAAGAATCTTAATATTTTCGCTGAACCCTTAACCTTTCTGCAAGCACTCGGTCGGTCCAATTGTACACAACTAACATTAGCATCAATTGCACGAGCACTCTGGCCAAAATGTGAACATTAAGACATTTGTCACAAGATATCCTGTAGCAGTGCCCGGTTAGCTCAGTTGGTA